TCTATCTATCTATCTATCTATCTATCTATCTATCTATCTATCTATCTATCTCAGTCTATTCATATCTATCTATCTCATTCTGTTCATATCTATCTATCTATCTATCTATCTATCTATCTATCTATCTATCTATCTATCTATGTGTGTGTTTCCTGTATGACATCATTAAATCGTAATAATTTCCGAAGGGTTTCAGGAATGTCATGTTTGTTGACGTTCGGGGTGCGGGGACTCTGGACTACACAGGGGTCCCTGCTTAGACTTCGTACATGGGATGCTGCATCTAATGTCCCACAATGTAGGATTTTTGTTTCTTTAACGAGAGTCTCTTTCTGTATTTTCATAGTATGAATCGAGATTTATAATAACTATGTATTTTTTTTGACAAAGGTCCAGTGTCTTATGACCTCGATGAATTTCATATACGGACTAATGGGCCAAATATTTGAAACCAGACATTTCTTAAGAGATTCGTCCAATGTTTACTTTCTAGCAGTTGCTTTTATTATCATTAAGAAAGGCTGGCCCTCCCCCCAGTAAGAACTATGACAACAGCAAGTTACCGATTTGAAGTGTGTGCCTATGTAGAATAAACAATCATTTCTAAAGGTGCGTGTTTTTATGAAGATTAAAATCGGGAGGGGGGGGGTAGTAGATTGATTAAAAAGAAATATTTTAAGAAGCCAATAAATTTGGAAAGACAAAAAAATATTCAGATTCCGATATAAACTAAACGGCTTCCTTAACATTTCACCTGTAGACAAAATGCTTTGTTTTGATACGACGTGAAGAAGATCATCCCCGTTTTCTTTGTCTTGCGTTTTCAGTGTACGGGCGTCGGTCTGTCTATCTATCTATCTATCTATCTATCTATCTATCTATCTATCTATCTATCTATCTATCTATCTATCTCAGTCTGTTCATATCTATTTTTTACACAAAAAAATATTGATCTGTGGGAAAGCACATAATTCAGGAATAAATATTATTCACATCGATGGAATATTACAATGTGATAATTAAAAATCTAAATATATATATACATATATATATATATATATATATATATATATGTGTGTGTGTGTGTGTGTGTGTGTGTGTGCGTGTTTTGTGTGTGTGTGTGTGTGTGCGCGCGCGCATTAGTTCATTCATTGATAGAATAGGTAATGTATTTTTATGAACGTATGAGCAGGTATATAAAGATCGCCACACGCACAATTTCTTCTTTCTCTTCTCTGTATATATATATATATATATATATATATATATATATATATATATATATTAGCCATTTTTGTTATTTTGTGCGTCTACTTTTTTTCTTGATATTATGGGTCGCACTGGGTTGTAAAATTTCAAATGTACCTAAAATATTCATGATAAAGAATAATATGCATAAGGTATTTTTAATATATATATAAATATATATATATATATATATGGACCTATTGTGTATACATATACACATATATGTGTGTGTGTGTGTAGTTGAATAGAGATAGGCAAAAGAAATAGAAATAGTTATATATTTTCTGTGAAATTCACTTGTTATACATACATACATACATACATACATACATACATACATACATATATATATATATATATATATATATATATATATATATATATATATATATATATATATATATATATACTGGCCCGAGAAAGAAGAATGGCCCATGAAACATTAGTGCTGTTCCACATATTCACCCCCAACTATTAACATACTAGTCCCCGTATTTTACCTTTTTTTCTGTGATATTTCCCTGCAAAATTCGAATATTTGGACATTGATATACTGACTTTTCTGCAGAAGCGTCTAGCCGAGAACTTCTCAACACCTGTACAAAATATGTGAAATGGTCTGCTTAGCAAGAACTTCTTCAGCAGCATCCCGTATATACATGAAATTTTACAATATAGCAACAATTACACACAATGCTTGGACTGAGCGAGATGTTCCTTCTACCTAAAATTATTTCTTGTGTGAAAGTTGACGTATATTTCCGAAGGTGAATTCTTTTAGGATATCCAGCGAAGCCATTTCTTACATTCCTTTGATATATTTACAAAATATTTCGTTATTTGCTAGACACAGTGACTAAGAAAAAATAGATTATATAAGGGAAACACACATACACACGAGCGCGCGCCTATATATATATATATATATATATATATATATATATATATATATATATATATATATATATATATATACATATATATATATGTATGTATATATGTGTGTGTGTGTGTGTGTGTGTGTGTGTATGTACGTACAAGATATTATTGAAATAATCTTGGGTAGACTCATTTGCGAAAATCATGTAAACAAATGATCAATCAGCAGATTCTTGGTAGGAAATGCGTCTTGGTCGATCCGAGAAAATTACACACACACACACACACACACACACACACATATATATATATATATAATAATAATAATAATAATAATTTTTTCTTTGATAATCCGTATGGATACTTCCAAAGA